AAACCGTGTTAAAACTGTGAAATCTACTTTTTTGTTCATGTTGTTTTTTGTTATGTGCGTCAGCAACTCCCTGGATGCGTATTACAGTTCACAAGCAGCAAAAACGGCCCAGTGGCCTAATGGATAAGGCACCAGCCTTCAAAACTGGGAATTGTGGGTTCAAGTCCCACCTGGGTTGTCTTTGATGCAGTTCTTATTAAGTTGGCTGTGCAGCACAATCCAGTGTGACCTTCAAAAAGCTAGGTTCATACCCTTAGGTCAAATAGACATGACAATGGAAAACTCTTTAGAGAATCTGCTTTGTCATTAGGTGTACACACCAGATCGTCTGAATGCAATATGGTATAGGGATCCTAAAGTGCTGTTTTCTGAGTTCTAAGAACTTCCTGAGCCATACAACAGATATGACAAATGCTAGTATTGGCCCAGTGGCCTAATGAATAAGGAATCAGCCTTCAAAGCTGGGGATTGTGGGTTTAAGTCCCATTTGGGTTGTGTTTGTTGGCTTACATATAAATTGTATGGAAAAAATGCTGACATGTCTCCTCAAAGCTTAGGCGTGATGATCTGAGGTCAATAGTTCGCTTCAAATTCTCAGACTTGCTGCACACTTCAATTAAGATTCATCCAATCTTGCTTGAATTATCCAATCACGTTACGCTCTGGTAATGGAGATCTTGACTTCAAGTACCCTGTGGCTTTCAAATAATGGTCTCATGTTAGATGGATGATGATGAAATGCAAACAAGAAAATAGCTGCAGACAGGTTGTGATTTCATGTTAACGAGAGTGGCCATGTCTGAAATTTGAAACTCAAGACCAGTCTCACACCATACCCCAGGACCAATGAGACACGAATGTGGATGATTACACAAAGAGAATGTTTGTCCATTAGTTGCAAACCATCTTATTTGATGGAATGCAAACTGGCATCGAGATCCCAAAGTGCAGTTTTCCATGCGTTGGCATCTTGTTGAGGGCATACAAGAGCTCCATGACAAAAACTTGGGAACATGGCCCAGTGGCCTAAAGGATAGGGCATCAGCCTCTGGAGTTGGGCGTTGTGGGTTCAAGTCCCATCTGGGTTGTCTTTGAAGGTCTCACTTCAAGTTGGGAGCAATGTTTGTTGGATGAAACACAGTAGCTGTGAAAACCTCCTAGAGATGTGTTTGCATGTCATTAACTTCCTTCGTTGTCATCCTTATTACAACGATCCATAAACAAATCTAACAACAGATTCATTGCCGCTACTTTCTTTCAAATCAACTCTCTTTTATTGTAACATCATCAGCAGCACGTGTGCTATGATGAGTAAAAAGCTTAGGTGCTGGCTCCAGACAGCACAAAATACAGAGTAATACAGTGCAAAATACAGACAGTGCAAATACAACAACAATGTGAAATTGACAGCGATGTGTACAATGAATAGGTGTCCATATAGTTGTAGGCAGTGTTGCTTCAAGTATGGATTGGTTAAAGTGCAGTGCATGCTACATATTGATGGTGTGCAGTGAGGGTACTGCCATGTCCTCATGCCTAGTATACGTGTTGTGCATCCAGATGAAACGGCATAAGCTGTGGCTCCACAAAAAGAGTTTTACACGCCTGAACAGGGACTTGAACCCTGGACCCTCAGATTAAAAGTCTCAACACAACACAATAGTTTGGCCTCATGTCATGCAGGAGACATTAAATAGATCAATGACAACTGCAGAAGGTATTTCTGTTGTTGTGGAAATGAATGGACACTTAACAATTGAAAAGATTCCTTCCATGCCTTAGAAGCGTGACTTGATCAATGCTTATCTACACAGCATGCTGCATCAAAGGTCCCGTTGCTCATATCGAATCCCTAGTCTTCCACACTTTAGGAAACGTAAGCATTCAGGACGTGCCATTAGCAAAGCCTGCACTAAAAGGAGGTTGGAGATTACGGATGGCAACACAGAGTGCAATGCCAATGTCACCTTGAAAAACCTGCCGTGACCCGGAGTTGCTGCGGCCACAACGCAGAGTACTAACCACTATACGATCACGACGAGCTACGGGAAAGCCACTGGCCCTTCACTCTCTGTCATATGTCTTTAAAAATTGAAGGCCCCCAGAGCAGTCAGTTAGCATGCGGTGGCATTTTATTTTTGGTGCTTTTCCCTTCCAGCACAACCCTTTTCCCAAGAAACAATGGAGTTGCAACCAATCATGGAATGTCACAAACTAAACCCTGCGCACTGCCTGGACGTAGTCGGCAGGGTTCGAACCTGCGCGGGGAGACCCCAATGGTTTTCGAGTCCATCGCCTTAACCACTCGGCCACGACTATAAGACTGCTTGGACTGCCATGTCCTCATGTCTAGTACACTTGTTGTGCATGCAGATAAATCTTTCGGCAAGCGACAGCTCAACGGCATAAGCTGTGGCTCCACAAAAAGAGCCTTACATACCCAAACAGGGACTTGAACCCTGGACCCTCACATTAAAAGTGTGATGCTCTACTGACTGAGCTATCCAGGCTCCATGGCTTGGCTGTACAAGCAGGCAAAGTGTAGGGTTGTGGTGGGCGCAGACCTTTACAGCACACAAAAGTTTACCGTGAGGTGGGGTTTAGGTTTATGGTTGGTGTAGATGTTGCTAAAACACAACAGTTTACTGTGAGGTTTGGGTTAATGGTTGTTGTAGGTGTAGACATCAGGGGGGTATTCCAGAAAGCTGGGTAAACTTACCATCTGCTAAACCCTGAACTCTCGGTTGATTTACCCAAAACCTGCTTACCGCGAGTATGTTGGTTCCAAAACAGGTGATAAGAGTTAGTTAAATAAACCTCCTGAAGATAACCGCGGGTTAATGCACGTGCACGGCACACACCTGAAGGCATTTTCAGTAGATCGCCGAATTCACGAGTCACCATAGAAAGTCAAGGTGAGAAAAAAGGCAACGCAGAGGCAAAGCTGGAGGTTTTAATCACAGAGATTACACATTTTCCCACCTGCCAGATCATTGCCCAGAATAAACTGAACTCCCTCTACTGGAAGATCAGAACACACTCCAACACAAACATTTCCCGTCACTAATTCAGTTTGCAAATATATCATGTGCAGGGGAACTGTAACACAGCCTGAACCCACCCCCCTTAGTATGACATCAGAACCAGTATAAGAATCGGATAACAAATTTAGAGTGCTTCGAAGCATCAAAGACTGAACTGAACCGGTGTCCCTCAAGATAGTTATTGGTTTAGGAACACTTTCAGCATCATGTGACACCCACCCTGACAGCATAAAAGGTTCAAACCCCCTCTGGTCTGAATTTAAATCTGTCTCCTCTGTAGCTGCACGTATAAACCCCACACTTTTAGGTTTAACTGACACATTTTTCTTTTTCCAGGCCTCACAGTCTGCTATCAAATGATTAGCATCCAAACAGAAAAAACACACCCTACCGTCCCCGGAGCGGTTTTGAGGAATCCTTCTATTGCTGAACCCAGCCCCACGCCCTGGTTTAGCATTATTATTGATCCAACCTCTGACCTGCATTTCAGGACCCTGGACAGCAGCCCTATCAGCACCTTTGACCACAGGAGAGAAAACTGTTCTGTGTGTTAATACAAACTCATCTGCCATTACAGCAGCTGAGGACAGAGACAATACTTTTTGTTCATTCAAATGAATAACAAGATTCTCAGACACGGAGCTCTTAAAGTCCTCTAATAAAAATTGCTCTTTCAATTGCTCAAACGTTGTGGTTTTATTTGAAGCACACCATTTATCAAATAAAGTTCGTTTTTCCCTTGTAAACTCCACAAATGTTTGTCTGTCTGTTTTCTTGTGAGCTCTAAATTTTTGTCTGTATGCCTCCGGCACTAGCTCATATGCACGGAGGACAGTCTGTTTAACAACGTCATAAACAAGACTCTGTTCCACTGGCAACGCGGAGCACACTTCCTGTGCTTTGCCAATTAATTTACATTGCAGCAGAAGAGCCCACATCTCCTTCGGCCACTGCAATGTAGCTGCCACACGCTCAAACGCAGTAAAATAACTGTCTACTTCAGCTTCTCTAAATGGTGGAACCAAATTAATATGTTTACTCACATCAAATGCTGGCAAACTCACAGGATCAGTTACGGCAGCAGCAGGACTAGATGAGGCTAGTGCAGGGCCACTGGGTAGCTGAGCAAATGACGGAGAGGTAGGTGAACGTATCGGAGAAACCCCGACCTGCTGAAACAGACCACGATCTCTCTGAAGTCGTTCTCTCTCTATTTCCAGCTCTAGCTCCTTTACCCTAAGCCTTTTACTCTCAGTCTCTGCCCGTTTAACTTCCAATTCCAGTTCCTTCAACTTTATTGCCAACATTGGATCTGACGCGATCACCACAGCATTAGGCTGCGCTTGCGCTGAAGACGGTAACATACGTGGGTCGGCGGAAGAGAGCGGTGCAGATAAAGGCTTCTCGTCGGCCGTGACCGGCGAAGCAGCGCTCGCTTCTGCACCACGCTCTACCGTTTCGTCAGGTAGAATTTGTTGCAAAACCAATGCATCATGTAGATGCTTTTTAATCGCTTTTTTAGACTCATTCTGTGACATGGGAATTTTGAAAAAATTTGCAATTTTAATTAAATCATCTTTGCGGCAGCGATTTAATTGTTCCACGTTCGGAGCCAGTGTAAAAGAAATCAAGTCAAACTCCATAATCCAATCCAAATTATTTTTCCCACACCACAAGAGAACAGATAGACAAAAGTTTGACTTACCACCCACATGCAGTCAAGACAGTTGGTTGAAACAGCTGACACAGAGTCGATATATTCCAGTTTCTGCAAACAGTAAAATACATAAACTATTTCCTCTTCTTCTCACAAACCAAGAGACGAGCCCCCAATTTATGTTACGACCTCAAAAATGTCTAGGGCTGAAGTCGAACATATAAATTATAGAGAAAATAAATAAACAGTTAGCAGGTTTGATTTTTTAATGACCTTTGAGGTTATTTTATTGTGAGAAGGTGGAAAAGGTTTGTATTTACAATAAACAAATAAATGAGCGCAAACAAAAAGCTTCAGGGCTGAGCAAGGCCAAAATAACAAACAAAACATTTACTAACTCCACCCCGAAGATAACTTACCTACTGAATCAAAAATAAATGAAGAAAATAAATTACAAATACTTACAGGAACGGGACAGGACGAGAGAGGGAAAAAGAGAGACACACACACACAGCAGCACAGAAACAACCCAATCCGCTCTTGCGTAACAATGACAATGTCATCGAGGTACGCTTTACAATTAGACACTCCACTAAGCACTATATTCATTAAGCGCTGAAAGGTGGCGGGAGCGTTCCGTAGCCCGAAAGCCATCACCGAGTAATTCAGAAAGTCATCTGGCGTCACAAGCTGAAATTTCAGCAGCACGCTCCGTCAAGGTTATTTGCCAGTAACCCTTCAACAGATCTAATTTTGTGACAAAACGTGCAGAGCCTACTTTCTTAATACAATCTTCCATTAATGGAAGGGGATAAGAATCGGGTTTCGTCACGGCATTTACCTTTCGGTAGTCCGTGCAGAACCGTTGCGTGCCATCAGACTTAGGAACGAGGATACACGGTGAGCTCCACGCGCTTGATCTCGGGACTGCAAGACCATTCGTGACGAGATATTTAACCTCATCTCCCATTACCTTCCGTTTAGCAGGATTCACGCAGTAAGCACTCTGTTTAATAGGCCGGCATTCGCCCACGTCTATATCGTGCTTCAATACTGAAGTTCGTGAGGGGACATCTAAAAATAGTGAAGGGAAACAATTAATTAAATCAAGCATTTCGCTTTGCTGGATATCAGACAAATGCAACAACTGTGACTTTAAAACACTAAGAGCCTGGGAATTATTCAATTTGCCACACGAAATTAAGGACTTCAGCATACTTAGACCGTCTTCATCTGAGCCACTGTCAGAAGTGATCACGATAGCCACAGGAGCGATTACAGAGCTTTTTGACTCCAAATCATCTTCACGACTCACGTAATGCTTCAACATGTTAATGTGACACACACGGCATTTTCTACGTCTGTCGGGTGTGCGCACAACATAATTCGTGTCACTCAGCTTTTTATCAATGACATACGGTCCGGAAAACTTCGCCTCTAATGCAGCACCTTGAACTGGCAACAAGACCAAGACTTTATCACCTGTAGAAAACGAACGAGACACAGCCTTTTTATCATAGCGCTCTTTCATTTTTGCCTGAGCATTCCCCAAACTAATCTGAGCTAGTTTACACGCATTGTGCAAACGCTCGCGAAAAGTACAAACATAATCAAGAAGATGACACTCTTGTTTTGGCTCTGAAACCCACGACTCATGTAATAATTTTAAGGGCCCTCGAATATCGTACCCGAAAATTAATTGGGCCGGGCTAAAGCCCAATGACTCCTGGACAGACTCACGGATCGCAAATAACAATAAAGACAACCCCTCATCCCAGTCTTTGCTCGACTCAGCGCAGTATTTACTCAACATGGACTTCAAAGTTTGATGGAACCTTTCTAATGCCCCCTGAGATTCCGGATGGTAGGCACTCGATGTAACGTGTTTGATGTTCAGTTGAGAAAGCACTTGTTTGAACACTCGGGACATAAAGTTTGTGCCCTGGTCAGTCTGGATCACTTTTGGAAAACCGAAGGTGGAAAAGAATGTGATCAGTGCTTTTAAAATGCCTTTCGCTTTTAATGAGCGCAACGGTATAGCCTCTGGGTAGCGAGTAGTGGTGCACATGAGGGTGAGCAAATAAACGTGCCCAGATTTTGTACGTGGTAGTGGGCCAACACAATCTAAAATCACTCGTGAGAAGGGCTCATCGACGACAGAATAGGTTTAAGAGGTGCAGGCAGAATTTTCTGATTAGGTTTTCCCACAACCTGGCATATGTGACATGAACGACAATATTTTGCAACGTCTGCTTTCATTCCAGGCCAGAAAAAATATGCCCAAATGTCCAGCGACATTATCATGTGCCACACTCAGAACCTGTCTGCGTAAACATTTAGGTACTACTAACTGAAAAACAACATCCCAGCCTAAACCATCAGACACTGTAGGAGTCCACTTTCTTTTTAACACATCGTCGTCCCAAAAATAACCAATCGGCTTATTTTTAATCGCCTCCGCAGTTAAAGCGGTAGTTCGGCAACGTGACAAAGAGGAGTCATTTTTCTGTTCAACAGAAATCAGCACCTTATCTGCGGACAGCGGGAGGTCATTCGATAGCGATTCAGCACCACAGGTCGTGGACAGCGAATCAGCACCCTGCGTCTCAAGTGTCATGTCTTGCGAGCTGCCAATAAAAGTGTCAGATAGATCAATCATATCGCCGAATTTACGAGCTTGCGCTCGCGTGATTACACAAGCAGAAAAGACGGTCAGAAATTCAGAAACTAAATCATTAGAATTAACCGTCTCACAAAGAGGATTCTCAATAACCTCTGGATATGGAAGAACTTTTCCTCCGGCTAAATCATTACCAATGATAACAGCAACACCCTTCACGGGCAACTGGTGACGAACAGCCAGTTTCACAAATCCTGTTACCAAATCAGACTGAATGTATACCTTATGCAGTGGCACTTTCAGAACTCCTAACTCAATCCCCTGAATAAGGACATCAGATCCACAATAACTTTCGTCCGAAAAATGCAAAGAATCAAATAATACAAAGGACTGTACAGACCCTGTATCTCGAAGAATGGTCACAGGAACTGAATCTTGTGCCAATCCACTCAGAGAAATCGTTCCCTGACACACAAATGGATCATACAAAGCATCAATATCCAAATCGGGCTTGCTTTCCCTACTAACGAAGCCAACACTCTTAGCTGCCTTTACCTGATTTTTCTTTCTCAAAATAGGGCACATGGAAATTAAATGACCTAAATCGTGGCAGTAGAAGCATTCGCGAGATTCCGCAGTTTTTACCTGCTTTAGCGATTTTGAAGCTTTTCCATTTTTCTCGAAGACTGGCGAAAAATTTGACTCTCGACGTGAAACAAACGTGCTCTTGTGCGTCAAAACAAACTCATCCGCGCAAACGGCGGCTTCAGCAAGAGTCGAAATTTTTTTCTCATTCAGAAAAACAACAATTTTGTCCGGCAACGAATTTTTAAAATCCTCAATCAAAATTAGTTCACGAAGTTGCTCAAAATCAGTGACTTTACTGGAGTGACACCACTTATCGAATAGCATGCTCTTCTCCCGAGCATACTCCACAAAAGTTTGACTGGAACCCTTCGAATGCAAACGAAATTTTTGCCTATAGGCCTCGGGGACTAATTCATATGCTTTCAGCACCGCATTTTTCAGTTTATCATAATCCAAGCTGTCGTTAACAGATAAAGCGGAACTAACCTCTTGGGCTTTTCCCGTTAATTTGCACTGAATCAGAAGAGACCAAATCTCTTTCGGCCTGCGCAACGCCGCAGCTATTCGCTCGAAAGCGCCGAAATATGAATCCACTTCGTTATCCCGAAATGGGGGTACGAGCGTAATATGACGACTGATGTCAAAGTCAGCATAATTATTAGAGGACACAGGCAACGAATTAATCGGGGTTGGATTAGAATTAACAGCAAATGAAGCAGATGGTGAAACAGTAGGTATAGGAGACAATTTAGGAGGCAAGACTGGTGAACGACGGTCAGCTTGCGTTTCTAACTCGCATTGCCTAAAACGTAGAAGCTGAGTAGTATGTTCTTGGCGCTTAATTTCGAGATCTGATTGTTTCAACTGAATAGCCAATTTTAAATCATCTAAATTTGTTCCACTTGGCGAATGCAACATAGAATCATCTGTCGCGTGCCTATCAGCACCGGCGTCTACGTTTTGCGCTGCTCCAGCAGGCCGAGGCTGTAAAACGCCTTGCTGCACCAACGAATCATAAATTAAATCTCGCACTTCTTTTTTCTTAGCAGTTTTCACCACAGAGATATCATAGAAATCAGCCACTAGAAATAAATCAACCTTACGGCATGACTCCAAAAGTTCCTACAAAGGAGCTTGTTTAAACGCTTCTATGCTAAACTCCATAATCTCAACCTTTCCCCACAGCACAAGATCAAATTTCCAGTCACCAAAAATAGAGAATATATAAATGGTACTCACCAGCAATGTCACAAGATTTCACTCCGGACGTGAAATTTAAACGAATAAACGGATCAAATTAAACTAAATTTGGATGAGGAAAAAACGGACGAGCCCCCAATTATTACGCCCCAAGTCTAGGGGAAACAAAAAGGGCATAATAAACGAAGAACAAACAAATGTGTTGGGGTGGTGGATTTCCCAAACTAAACAAAACTTAAAACAAAAGATTCCCTTCGGTCGACAACCAAACTCACACACTCAATTGAGAGTATATATGAAGATATTTATTATAGAAAAATTGGGTTTATATAAACGAGCATTTCGTCAGGGTGACCACAGGCCAAAATAACAAACAAAAGAATCTATAAAATAAATCCACTAAATTACCCATTACTATTTAAATAAAAATACAAGAATCTTACCTTACTCCCTAACATAAACAAGTCAAAAGTAATCAAATAAATAGGCAGGTCACCCCTACACGCTCAAACTCTCAAAAAACTATTCAAGCATAGGATGGTCATCAATACAAAGGTGATTATTGTTGGTCGTCGGCCGAAGGGGTGAGGGAAACCCAGGAGCTCCACTCCAAACACCGAATGCAGCAGAAATGAGCTCCCCGATTCCTGCCGGAAGCTCCCTTTTATACAGGCCTCGCAGACCAGCAGCCAATCAGAGCAGGGAATCACGCCGGCGTGGGAGCCTATAAGACATCAGAAAAACAGCAAGGAGGCGGGACAAAAGAAAATGGAGTACAATCAGCAATAATAAAAATAAATAAATAAACTTCAGTCGTAACACTGACATATTGAAACCATGTTTTATCTACAAATGTGCTTTGTGTTCATACAACATGTTCAAAGCAGTTCAGGTTTACTTGATT